AGTAATAGTTGTTGTTGTTTTTGTTGAAACAGGGTGTCGCTCTGTAGTCCAGACTGGCCTTGAACTCACGATGTAACCCAGTCAGGACTCAAATTGTGGCACTCTTCCTGCCTCAATGTATTGAGTGCTGGGACTCTAGGGTTGCACCCCCATGCTTGACTTAGAAGTGATATCCTTAAACTGTGAGATTTCCCTAGAATCTTTAAGTGTTTATTGATTAAAATGGACTTATTATAGAAAGAACAATAACATGTAAATTTTAAAACTAAATGTGTAAAAAAAGTTTTCAAGATATAGACTAACATATAAGAAAATATAAAGTTTATGGCTAACTTTTTAATATTTTTGTGGTTACTATTTCTACGTTTGTAATTAGAATACTTTCCTTTATGTTATTTTTTGAATTGTGAATCACTTTCAATTATTATTTCATTTGTCACAAAAAAAGGGTGGGGAAATATAAATCTTCTAATTTAGAGAAATGTCTTTGAAAAATTATTTCATATAATATTAAAGTAAAGAATATCACACTCAAATCATTGTTAAAGAATCCTGAAATATGCAGGTAGGCTTAAAACGCAACTCATAGTGGAGAATTATTGTTAATAATTAAAATATCTGTCAAATTAAGTCCTTCTCTGACAAAAAGAACCTTCTCAATATAATTTAGATTAAATAGACCCCTTAATAGGTCTTAGTGTTATAAGTAATCATATGTAAAATATAATATATAACTATGGAAGCCATAACTCCTGTATCTCTCTTAGCTTGGGAAATACATTTGAAGAGAAATTGTTATTGTCAGCCAAACACTCCCTGCTTTGATATGTAATTTTTCTAAACATCCCTCCCTCCAGTAAAAGGAGTGTTTGACTCCCAAAACTCACATAAGGTTTGGGAAGTATTTGGAAAGCCTCTCTGCTCTAAACGAGAGTAGAAATAATAGACCTGTATAAATTTTTAAACACTATGCCTGAAATCTTGTATATGGAATAAAATACACCTCTGGCAATGTCCTTTGTAACAATTGTGTCTACTTAAGGTTCACATGATTCCACAGGGTGCTGACACCTCAGAATAAGCCTGCTTTTCTTGCTTTTATAACAGTACCATTGGCAGTGGAACAAATACCCAGGGTGATAGCTTGATAAAGTCTTTCCTTGTAATTAAGCCTATGGTTTATGCCAAGGAGAGTTATTTCCTGTCCAATTACAAGTTGGAATTCTATCTCCTTGCATTATATTTGTTATAATGGTTTCAAAGATCCATGGCTGTCACTGTGCCAGAGGCAGAGCTTTGCTGGGAGTTTCAACCTACAGTGAAAAAGCCAGTCCATCCACTCCCTAAAGGACTGAAGGGTAGAGACTTGGGATGGATTTTAGGGTGCTAAAGTGATAAGATGAGTTTCAAAATATTTGCACACATATTCTAAAGGAGTGATAAAGGTAAAGTGTAATTATATAGTCACATCTGCAACTCTATTGGTGAAAAAACATGGTGTTTCCACCCTTCAGGCAGTATTTAATGGACAGCTAATTAGCATAAGCATTAGTATGATTGCTCTTAAAATGGTACCCCAGCTCATCTTCTTTTTAATTAATTAACATTTAGTGATGTACAGACTGGAAGCCATCCCTGAATTCAAAATTGTTGAGTAGGTCCAACAGGCTGCCAACTCACCTACCTGCACCTGTAGCTCAGGCTAACTGCCAAGGATCCTGGCAGAGCTAGAAATGAAATTGCTTCAGTTTCACCAAGCAGTGACTTCAGGTCGGAGGACCCATATAGCGTGTTGCTTGGTGGATTTGTGGGGTCATTTGAGTACTTTCTCCATTATCAGCTATCACTCTATACTGTTGATTCACAATATAGACAGTTACTGAAATTCGTCTGCATCTGCCTGCAATTATTTATCTTCTTACATCTCGGGAGTGGAAGTTGGTAGTTCTGGATTTAACTTCAGTCTCCTATATTCAAGAAGAATTAAATAACTAGAAAACTTAGGCTACCCAATAATTAAGTAGCTCCTTGGTTTAGAAACAAGAATGTAGACTTTCAAGTTCATTTCTCAATTTTGCTAGAACTCCAGTCCCGAGGTATTTTTTATCTGTTCCTGTGTTCATTAAGAGAGGGACAACATAGTACAGCATCCACAAGGCTGAGCTCTGGGGACACACTGCATACACAGCTTCATGTCTGACTAATGTAGCACCTTGTGCAGCATGGCCAACCCACTTAATATCTTTTCATGCCATTGCTTATGCAGCATTGTCATAACGATGGCACCTCCTTCTCAGAGCTGTGATGTTCCTACAGAGTACGCAATATATGAGGGCATAGTAAAGTTTCAATAAAATTAGCTACTATGATTCAATGAGTAATTTACAGAAATGTAACAGATGTGTATGCTGCGCCTACCACATTGCACTTAATACTGTAAATGCCCCCACTTCATCCATCACCTCAAGTAAAATGAGAGTAAAATAATCTTATGAATGTATCTCTTTTATAAGGCACTAGTAGTATTATTAAAAATTAAAGGAGTTGAATTTGAGAAAAGAAGAATGCCAAGGGTTAAACAGGCCCCGATAAACTCATGTATACTATGTTTACTGCAATATGATACATAACTTTATATTTTGTACACTGTAAATTTCATATAAAATATTAGAATTTTTGGAAAAAATACAACTTGTAAAATGTATCCAGTCACCAAAAGCAGTCATTGTTTTCATGAAAAGATTAGCAGAAATAATTACTAATAAATGTATAAATCTACAAATAAAATAATCTAAGAAAAAAATGAAATTAACTTATTGGAGATATTAGGACCATTCTACTTAGAAAGAGAAAGAGGGGAATATATAGACAGGAAGAAGAAACACAGCATGTTATGAAAGAGTACCTGTCTAATCAGAGCCAATGGAAAGAGGATATTGGCTGAGGGGAAGGGGAAATTGGTTGCACATTGTCCTCTGTGGCTGCAGCCAACTTCACCCTTATTATCATATTTTGCATTTCTTTGTTGTTTCTGGAGATGTCAATCATGGATGTGCTGGGGACTGTCTTATAAAGTAACAAACTTCCCCTGTTGTACATGAATATCTCATTACTCACCAATCATTTGTAATCTAGTTTCACGGCAGTAAACACATCTAGTACGACAGAGAGAAGATGTAACATAAGTACAGCAGAATTGCTAAACTCGTTCTGTATTAGCTGATCAAAACTCATCTCAGAATAATTTTTGCCTTCTGAGAGGATGCTGGACCTAAACAGCAACGACAATGGTGATCAATATAACCAGTTGTCCAGCATCAAATATATTTATATTTAGTTTAAAATCTCTAGAGAAATGAATTTAGGTGTCAATGCGTTCTAAAATCAACAGTTTAGTACCTCTCATCTACAAATCAACGGAGGAGGAAATATTCCATAAATTAGGAAAACAGAGAGATAAACTGATCTGAGATATATGAATAACTATTTGAACTCAGTAACCCTGAACGCTGATGCAGATGACAATGGGAAGAAATGTGGAAAAAAAAGGAAAGGACAGGACACTACTGCACTTTGGAGGTGAATGTTCAAATTCTAAAGGAGATAAAGAAAATATGTCTGTCATGCTTACATGGGCTTGTTGAAAGTAGATGAAAATTTCCATGGATCTGCTTTATTTTTACTACACAAAAAGTATAATTTATGCTCGACATTTGATTTTGAATGTTCAGACTAACATTGAACCAATTTGTGATTTAAATTCTGTTGTCTAAATGAATGATGTCCATTAGGAAAAAGTACAGTCAAAAATGTAAATTGCATGTGCAATTTATTTTTTTAGTAAGCACACTGAAAATGCAAAAATAAGAGAACATAATTTAATTTATATATGTCTTTAATATAGTATTTCTGATTACTGACTTGTAAAAAATCATAAATATCTAAATTAACACTCTACAAGTTTTCCACTATTTTTTTTTAAATTTGCTGTATAATTTAATATCGCATTACATGTTGGTCCCAAATTAACAGATTTTGGTGAAAAACCCATGTATAAGTAGTAACTGCCACAATGGGCAATGTGTATCTACATCAATTATATGAATATTAGTTTTCCAGAATTGGAAAATGTAATGTAATACATAAAATTTAGGTTTTTGTTGATATTAATCTTAAGAGAGTAGACAAGCCAGAATCCTTTAAAACTGCCCCTCTAGAATATATAGGGTGTATAGTTTTTGGACACTACTTATACCTTGCATCTTATCTCTATCATGTTGAATTGTTCTTATACTAATATTTAAATTACAATATTCATGAAGAATACTTTGCACATTTTTATTATATGCTAAGAGCTGAGCAATCTTCGGTTTGAATATCAGCTGACTTATTGGCAAATGCCATACTTACACACATTTAATTAAACTTACATTGATTTTGGTTTATTTCTTAGTTTTGGAAACATTATATAGTTTTTCTGGCTTCTATCACTTGGAAACTTCACGGGCCTTAGGATTGTCCCTCCAGTGTCAGGTGCAGAAATCTACTCAGACTCAAGTCCATTACCCAAATATGTGCTTGCAAAATGCAGAATGTTCCTATTCCTTTAGATCTAGGTGACTATTATAACCTACAATACACTTTTGTTAAAATTAAGTTTACCTTCAGGATAGAGCTGAAGTTAGATGTGCCAACTCTAAAGTTGGCACTATTCTACTTTTTAAACCAGCAACTTGAGTATGCTCCTTGAAACTATTATTGCATTTAAATATATATTGCTTCTCTTTAAGATACACCTTTTACTTCAATGTAACTTCAAAGTTTTAAAGTGTGTATAGAACAGAGGTAAATTATCTAAGTTTTAAAGGTCCAATTACAGTGAGTATTTAACCATTTAATGTTTTTCTGCCCTCACTGTTTTATTTTTGCAGTGCTACTGCTCGTGAATATCATTTTGAAATGTTATTAATTTAATGTACTTTTGTTGATCTATTTTGTAGGTCCCATTAGATGGAATATAATAGAACAGAAGCCTCAAAAAGATTAATGCCTGAATTAGATTTTCTGCAATAAAACAAAGAGCTGAGTGCTGAAGCCCATAGACACCTCAAACCTGGATTCCACAAATCTGCATTAAACTCTGGGAGTTTTTAGAGCTCTGCTGTAGGAAAGCCTTTGCCAATGCTTACAAGGAACTGTCTATCCCTGCTTCTCTGGGTCCTGTTTGATGGAGGTCTCCTAACACCACTTCAACCACAGCCACCAAGGACTGCAGCCACAGAGCCAAGGGAAAATGCTGTCCACCTGCCAGGTCAACGATCCCATTTCCAACGCGTTAAACGTGGCTGGGTATGGAATCAATTTTTTGTGCTGGAAGAATACATGGGCTCCGAACCCCAGTATGTGGGGAAGGTAATGATGTATTTCTTTTCATCACCACTTGGTACGAAAGGGGAATATGAATTGGGTATTGTGCATGAATGTTTCCCACAGGAGTTGGCAAAACCAGTGACTAGATTACTGGAATTGAAATTCAAGAGACTGGTTTCTCATCCTGTCTCAATGGCCTGGGTTATCTATATAATGTATGCCATTTAACACCACTTTGTTTCAAATTTCCTTGATTATTTTAAGGAAAATTATACATCATGTGTCTATGTGTGTGTTTTGTTATCACTTTTGAAGTCTTTGCTGAGTATCTGACATCAGAATATGGTAATATCATTAAAGATATAGTCATTGCTCACAGCTATTCTGGAACTGTTTAGCAATCAGAGACACAGTGAAAAGTTAGAAGGCACATGTACTCTAAATTAGTATTGGTTATCTTGAATCTCTTAAAGTATTTCATCCCTGATAACCTCAAAATATAAATTCTCTTTGGATTTTGTTTTACATTATTCGACTTGCCAAACTTACACTTTATACTAAATTTTCCTAGTAAATATAATCCAAAAATTTTACTTTTTAATTTTTGCACTTAGTGATAATTTTCTAAATTTTTGTAGTATGGGTTTCAAAGAAGCATCTAATTTTGAGAGAATTGAAAAAAGAAAAACATAACAGAATTGAAAAATCAACAGGGAGATTATTTGGAAATAGATATAGAATATCTTGACTTTCGACCATTAAATTCCTGAGCTTTCTGAAATTTTAAGCTAAAGAGAAATATGATATACCTCATATGGATTCCACAGTTAGATTGTACAAACATATCCATTCACTATCTAAATCCCTTTATTACATTTTTGAGATTATCCCTGTGGAAAAGTATTCAATATTTATTGAATAATAGAATACAGGAGGTCTTCTAATAAAACCTTTGTTGAAATGAGCATTTACAATCAGGGTTTACACTAACATGTAAGTAGTCTCTAGCAAACATTGTTTATAAGGCATCTATCTACATATAAAAATTAAAATCAGTGTGTGAGTACCATTCTGGGCATCCAGTATCTAATGATTTTACAAAAATGTAACAGCAAATACAGGGTCATTACAAAGGGGCTTCTTCCTTCATAACCTGCCTAATTAGAATCTCAAGTCTTTTCTAATGGTCCTGGGCAAACCCCCTAAGTGCAATCCTGGAACTTTGAGTAGAAAGTAAGAATGGATCCAAATGTGCAGAAAGAGGCATCAAACCCCAGCCAGGTCCAATTCAGAGCAGGGCGGCTTGCTCATGTCAGATTGCCTTATGCAAGAGAAGTGTCTTTAAAAATTCAAGGAGTTGCAGAGTCTGCGTAGAGTCTTTTGAAGAATGTACTGAAGTATCTGTGGTTGTTTCCTAAATCTCCTGCTTATATGATTTCTAAGTGTGATCATAAAATATAACAATTACTGGAAACATTTTCAGAATAAGATAACTTAATTTACTTGTACCACAATAGAATTTGTACATTTTTAAAAATTTAATATAAACATAGTGTTTAGAAATCTAAGAAGTAAAAGAATAGCACAACTCTAAAATTACTTTGCAGGCAAAATTTGCTTATAGCAGAAAAGAGATATCACATTGAAGTTCCTGAAATATTTTTGCATGAAACTGTTCTCTATTTTTGGCTCAATCAAATCTGTAGGTATTAGTTGCCAGAACTGGAGGTAATAAAGTCGATAGATTTTTGAAATATGCATTTTGATTTTATCCTGGATAAAATATCATTCTGCTTGCCAGTGGGCATAATTGAAACAGATCTTTGGCTTTGATTATGAAAGCTGTTGTTTGGTATTGCCAAATCCCGCCAATATAACACCTGGGAATATATGAAATTTATCCATTTAGCTTAAAAGACAAATGAGTATAAACTTGATACAAAAAAGGTATGACATTTAACTTATGATTACATTTAAGCAGGGTTATTTCTACAGATATATGGTAACAAAACTGCATTTTGTACCATTTTCAGATGCATTTCTTCTTTAAATGAAACATCAGTTGCCAAGATTTTCTTTCCACAAGAAACTAATTAAAGTTAAATTAACTCAGTGTTGATGCTTCTAGATTTGGGAATAGAATTATGAGAGCATGGAGACTGACTTAAATTTTTGTTTGTATGTATGTATGTATGTATGTATGCATAAATATATAAAAAGACCTATGTTCTTGCTCTTTCTTTAAAGCTTGTAGATGATCAATAGGAAAGTAAATTGTTGTTAACAATACAGAAGTCAGTGCAAAAGAAAAAGTCACAGGAAAGGGCAATTGGACAAGAGACAACCAGTGAGGTTCACATTTGACTTTCCGTTTTCTTGAAGAAAAAGCTTATGAGGAAAACATTAATTATCATAGTTATTATTGAAATTTCCACTTATTTAAAGAAAAAATGATTTTCCTGCATCCAAATCTAAGATCATATCCTCCCTTTTATAAAGAAAGTTTTATGTGGCTTACTGGACAGTTGTCATCATAATAGTTTCATGTTGTATGTTTTTCTGGAAAAGCTGGCACTCAGGTAAAAACAAACCTATGATACTGTTTGTAGTGATTACTACTTTTCTTTTTTTTTAATTTTAAAAATCAAAAGAGAAAAGAATGATAAAAATGATACAGAATTTTTTAAAAAGTTGGAAATTAACACTAGTTAATATATTGCATATTGTAGTTTTAGAGGTTTTTATTTAGATTACAAGATCTAGGCACAAAAACAATGAAAAAAGATATGGTATTTTTATGCAATGGAGCATTACTCAGCTATAAAGAGGATAATCTTGAGGCTTTTATAGATAAACAGAGGCAACTTGAGACCATGTTTATAAATAAAATAAATCTAATTCACATTTATAAATGGCAGATTGTCTCCCAAGTACAAAAAATAAAAGGCTGAAAGAGTAATAAGATCCAAAATACTATAATAATTAAAGGCAAATAATGTGATAAAAAGGAAATTATTTTTCATTTTTGCAAAGATAACATTAGAGTATCTGAAAATAAACCTCATACTTTTCTCTGACATGTGCTTTGAATTTACTGTTAGAAATGAGTTAAGTTCCCACATTGTGGAGTATGGGAGAAACCAATTTTACATTAAAAATAATTCAATTATTTCCAATCACTCACAATAAAAAAGTAAAAACCTGTTAATAGGCATACCCACACATGTATAGTACACATACCAGTCAATTGACTGTAAGCAGTCAACTGCTTATACCAACAGAGATAAGATCATACCTGTCTGTTAGGACTGATTTTACCTCTCCTCTCAAAGCTAGGCATCATGACAGTTGTGCCTTTTTTATCATCAAAGAATAATGTAGGAAACTGAATTGTAACTTTAGATGAATTACAATTACCAGAAATCCTTGAATCTAAGGATTGCTAGCAAAAGTGTAAGTTGTTTAAAAGCACAAAAATGTTTTAAATTAAAACACATGTAGAGACAGCTTCTGAAACACTCATTTACTCAGCCTATTTCTGAGAGAATATGTATTGTCTGAAGATGATGTTAATCCTTGTGGGGATAAATATAAGCATGAAGGTCCCTGGATTACTATTATACTAGGTAAGTTTTATTGAGCACTTCTTTTGGGCACTGTTTTAATTGCCATACATGCATAAGCTTATACAATCTTCAAACAGCAGTAGGAGGGATATTATTAGAAGCTTTATTTTATATGTCAGAAATCTCAGGCAGAGAAAAAGTTAAGTAGCCTCCATATGTCTCAACACTCAACATTCCAAAGCTAAAATTTTATAGCAAGCAGTTTAGCTCCAGTGCGTCAGAAAAAATACCAATGTATGCCTCTCAATGGCTAGCAACAATTTCAATACTTTTGCTAAATGTACAGTCATAGAGACATAATTACATGCTCCAGGAAGCCAGGAAGATTTGTGATTATGGCAAGAAGATAGAGAAATTTGAGAAAGACTTCACAGATATATAAGCACAGAAGATAATTCTCAAACAGACAATTTGATTTTCTTTTTTGAAAAGTAGTGTAGGGTAAAGTTTTTGTAAAGGTGGACAATTAAAGCACATGTGAGCCTTGGTAACCATGTTTCAGCATAGCCAATGTGTGAAGCCAACTGTTTAAGAAAATAGAACAAGTATGGAATGTCTCAAATAAGATGCACAAATAAGTTGCATTTAAGTCAAGATCCAGACATAGAATCTTGTTTGGCGATTAGCTTGGGAGAATTACATTTCTAGAATGACCCCTGAGACAGTCATTTATGTGGAACAAGGAATTGAAAATAGAGATAGGGAGTATTTGGAGAAGGTCAAAGTGTTTGTTTCGGAAGTAATAAAGGGATTATGATATTACAGTTGAAAATGTGAAAGATGAAGTGATAATAAAAATTAGCGAAGTCGCTTGGCAATGGAACTATAAAGGAAGAGACAGATCTGAGAAACTTGCAGACATAAAATATTAAAAAATAAATGGATACTAGTATATACAGAATAAAAGAGAAAGAAAGTAAAAAGACAGGATCATGACTTCTCTTTTATTTCAATGTTATAAAGATTTGGTGTTAAGATGTAGAAAAAAAATCAATATTGGATATTATATATTCTTACTTAGAATACCCAGGTGAATTATAGTAGATGCTTACATATATTAATGTAGAATCCATTAAAGAGTATCTGGCATATAGACAGAGTTAAAATCCCATAAATGAGTAATGCATTGTAGCAAAAGCCTATACTATGGAGAGGTTTAAAAAAATCATTTTTAATTGAAAAGCAGATGAAGAATTAACTCTTACTAATAAGAAAAATGCAAGCATGAAAATAGTTTCATGGAAGATGAAAGAAGAAAATGTTTTAAGAATAAGGAATGACAAAAAATTCTGAACCCTAGGGTTCAAATTAAATCATCATGAAAACTCCCTTTGAATCTGGGAATCAGTACGTCAGAGCTGTTTTTTATCAAAATGAATCGTGATTTTCTTTTAACTTAAAAATCAGAAAAGGGAG